CAGTTTCCCATAGTAAGTTTTCCAGGAAAGCATTCTTCTTGGCAAATCATCCATACAAAAGTGGGTGCCTCCCATCAAGGGGCTTGCGTTAACATATGTCATCAATCCAATTCAATCGTAACTGCCTCGGCCATCCGGCCTTCTAATTAATATTAGTTATTGATACAGAATAAGCATTAATTATTGCTTATTAAATAGAGAATTGTAGCAATTTTGATACTCCGCTATACATTGTTTTAAACTAGTTTACGATTCATTATTCGCGAGTAAAATAAAACACGGTTAACTGATTATTGAGCCGCCTGTACTTTAAAGATGCTATTATAACTCATTCAGTACCATTAAAATTGCTATTATCTTATATCCAAATATTTACTTCATATAATTTCTGAATATTTTATTTCTGTTATTCGAAGCAACTGCATAATTTAATAATTAGCTTCGTAACTAAGAATAAAGCACAATGTCATTAAAGAAAAACTGTAAACTAGCTGACGAATTAAAAGTAAAAGTTGCGTGCTTAACACGTGGTCATGATGAATGAAAAGCACAGATCATTTAGTTTTGGTTGCTCGTTATACATTTTAAATAACACATTCATAATGCTGTAAATACCATTAGATATCGATATTAAAAACATAATTTACTAAAATTTGCAAATATTTCATATTTATATTCAGTAATCAACAATTGAGTGGAAGTTAAATTAAGCATTTTTCGTATCTAACTAATATTTTTCATTATTCATTCGTTTTATGAGGTAGATAAACTAAAAAATATAATAGAATAAATTTCGAAACGTGTTTAATTACATGAAACATCAGTTTTTTTAAATTTTTTATAATTACTATTAAGATTTTTGAACAGAAGACAGATTTAAAGAACTAGAAAATAACCTCTGTCCTCTTTTTTAAAGAAAACAGAAGGCATTTTCTATCAACAAAAAGAGGACAAATGTGTTCTCTTTGTTGCTGAAAACGTTGTAACCTTATACTATTTTTTTTATTAAACTAATTAAATTTAAAACTAAACGTATGATAATCCATAATATTGTTTATAAAACTTTGTGAGAGTAATTTGAAGCGGATTTTTAGAAAATAAAAATATAAGACTTTAAATCCACGCCAATCTCTTATAACCAGTTCTTATTATAAACTAATTTTGTTTTATTATTAAATAGGAGAATTTAATTAGTTAAAATTGTATCTAAATATATTTAAAACTTTTAATGATATTTATAAAATTATTTTTAAAAATTGGATATAAATTAATTTCTATATTTTTGTTTCGTGTGTCCAAGGTGTAATAAAAATAAAAATGAAACTAGAATCATAAATTTGGGTCTTGTTCTTCATCGAAAGCTATACAAATATATAAAGTAAACAAAAATAAAAATAAATTTATCAAAAGAAACTTTAATTTATATCATTTTCATATCACAATTCTTATATTTAGGGCCTCTGTGTCTAGGAATCGAGTCAAATAGTCCTGCTGGACCCCTCTATCTGGGCCTTTTGATCTCTCATGTTTTAAATTATATTTTTATTGTATAAAATATAAAAATTAATAATTAAGTGTCTATATAAAAGACTATTTAGAGTTAAATTTCTCTAAGGGAAACCAATAATCTGTAACAGGTGTGGCCAAACTTTTATCCCTTAGGGGCTACTTTTTTGGTAAAATATAATCTGCGGGCAACTATGAATATGGGCAAACAATTTTAGGATTTTTATATGCGCATGCGTTAACATTCATTTGCATTGTTCATAGGGATAAATACAAACACTATGGGTACCTTGCACAGTCTATTATTGTAAGAATAAATTATCGAATTAAGATTTTTAAACATTAATTTAAGTGAAAGCAAATTGTTCAACTTTAGATTCGCGGGCTACTTTCAAAAGTAGCCCGCGAATCTAAAGTTTGCAGTCGGCCGGTCGACCGCGGTCTACGTGTTGGCCATCCCTGATCTATAAGATAAGCTCCCTGAGCTAAGCTAAAAATCTTTAAAATTATTTATAAAAACATTTCAAAATAAAATATAAATAATTTAAACACTAAAACAAACAACTGAAACCCATTTTAAAAATTAAATTTTTATAAATTTTTAAAGGATTTTCCTCTCTTAAATAATTCAAACTGTTTGAACTTAAATTCAAAGATTTAAATGAGTTTAAATTGAGTGAAGAATTCAAACAATTTTCTAAAAATATATTATATTATATAAATTATTTTAAATTTTAAAACATTAATTTTATTTATAAATTAATATTTAAAACTTTAACATGGAAGAACAAAACATGAAATTCTGTATTCAACTGAGAAACATTCTTAAGACATTATCTGAATTGGAAACATTAAATTGAGCTGCGCTCAATTTCACAAAATTCATTCATAATTAATTAAACATACAAACAAATAAGACAAGTGTAGAGTTTATAATTAACTCTTAAATCAATATTTAGGAATGAAAGATGAATTAAAGCTTGAAAAGTTATTAATTAATCTCTAAATGACTTCGACGTATCTTATCAGACTAGACACGATTTTTATTTTATTATCTGACTCTAAACTAAATTAGTGTCTTCATTAATAATTCACATTATCAATATAGTATATTGGCGCTTCTCCTTTATCATTGACACAGTATAGAAACACTATTGTTCACAGTAAAATAAAGAATTAATTAAAAGGTGCGACCTCCAACCCCATTTGGGAATTGCCAACACGTAATTATTTACTGTGTTGTCAACCGTCAGCACCATCCCGCTGGGATTTTCATTTGTTGGTTTAAACTCAGATGCCATGAGTTTCCTTTTTTAACGATTGTTTCTTGCTTTAAAAGTTTATACAACTTTTCTTGAATTTTTTATATTATGAAGAACTTTTTTTAGTTTGTATCTTCTTTAACGCTTATGTAATAGATGTGTTTGAGTTAAGATGGATTTATGTTATTCTCCCGTTTTATTGGATTAAGAAATATTATAAAATGTTTTTACTACGTATTAACATAATTTATGTCTTTAGAATTGTATGTTTTAACCTTTTATTATGGTTTATAGACCAATTACTATGTTATAAAATTGTGTTGTTTGATGGTATTTGAGGAAGATAAATTGCACCTTTATGGGTAGTTATTAAAGTAAAATTGTGTTTTTAAGTTATTTCGTATTAGTATAGTTTAATAACATTTTGATATTAATATTGTCTTTGAATTTATTTTGAAAATTATAACTTCGAATTAATACGAACCCACCAGTGACTGCATACTGACTCTTGGGTTCGCATCTAATTAATGGACTGACAACGTGGAATTTTCCGGGTTTTCTTAACTTGTTTAATATATAAATAGAGGCCAGTTTTCCATAGAAGTCCTCCCCAACTCTCTGGCTAAGAGGAGTCTTCTGGGTTTTCTTCGTGTGTCTAACACCTAAATAGGGCCTGTTTTCCTCCTAGAAGCCTCCCCAGTTTGCAAAGTGCACTGATGTTGCATTTCCTTATCCCATGAAACAAAGACGGTTTCTAAGATTACGAGTCTTCATCATGTGTCCCTCCTATCTCCTTGTAGTCATAGAGTTAATTTATATATAAATACTATTATGTACTGTATGTTGAAAAATATAAAATAATATAACCGTATCATCCCTTTTAAAATCTTTAATAATACTATTTATAGATTTAATTAATATAAATCACGAAAAAATAGCACAATAAATTTAATTGTTGGCATCTCTAACGTAATAAATGACCCAGAAAATATCTAAAGTATATTTAGCACATTTATTGGAGTTACTATTAATATTGATAATCGTTCTCGCTTATAATATTAATAAAATGTTTCAACAGCTGTGTAAAAAGTGTATGTAGAGATGCTAGAAGTTCTTATTAATAACGCTTTGAATCGATAATTTATATATAAATACATCAAATAACCGATACAGTTCTTACATAAAAACGCCAAATTCTATAATAAATTACATGACTGGTACAAATTAATATATTTATTTCACGACCGAAGTGGTTAAGGCTTCAGTTTATCTCTCTGGGGATCCGGGATCGAATTCGAGCGGTCGAAAAACCCCAGGAATTTTTCGGGTGGTGGTTTGTCCCTAGGGCCGGATTTGCACAATAAGCTAAATAAGCTGCAGCTTGGGGTCTCTCGTTATGAGTCTATAGCTTACGTTCTCACATTTTTACATGTATCTTTATTTGATAAGAAGGGAAAAATGCTGTTATATGTTATAGCTCAGAAATACAGCAAATCTAACGAATAAATCCATTACAGTCTGTCCTGCAATTGTTGAGCCCCCTTCTTTCCCACCCGACCGCCTTATTGTGGGTCTGATTGAACCCACAATAGGCTTTAATAAAGGTTTTCTTAGTACCCACAGGGCAAAAAGAGTTTTAAAAATCTCTTAAATATGAACTTTATCTTATTTTATAAAAACTTTTTTAAAACACAAAAATTTGTAACTAAAACACAAAAACTGTTTAAATAAAAATTTTTGTGTTTTTTTTTACATTTTTAAACGAAAAATATAAATTATGAAACTGAAAAAGAAATAAAGTCTATTAAATGCCTCTTGTTTTCCTTATCTCTTGAAATCCCCAACAGATATAATCCTTGGTCTCCTACACACGAACTTCCTTTTCTAGATCCTATTTAAATCCTCAGTACACAGCGTAAAGCACATCCATTCCCATAGTAATCCTTCTTTCGACCACGTACTTACATAATACATTAAAATTAAAAATTCAGTTAGAATGTTAACAGGAATGTAACCGTTCGTCAAGAAAATGAACTCATTCGCGGGAACTTTGCCAAATTTCTCGAATAAATTTTAAGTTAAATAGCAATTTTTTATATAAAAAAGCAAAATTTATTTATCTATTTATATATATATATATCACTATAAAACTGAAATCCCATCATTTGTTCTACTCTTCTTCGAAAGTTAAATCTGGTAAACAGGTTTTTATTGTATAAATTTCAAGGGGTGATTTATTAATTCTAATCCTATAATTCCTTTATTTATTTTTTTATTGATTTATATAATTCGAAGGTAAAGCATGTATGTACTGGTTGACGAGGCCGTCGAGAGGAAGGAGCTGGGGATTTTTCCCGATTCCCAGAAAAAAGTGAAAAACCCGTAATAGTTCCTACCCCTATAAATTAACGTTATTTTATTACCAATATAAAATAAAATCGTCAAGACTGCTTTTTATTAATAAAGAAACATTCTACGTATTTCATTTGTTTAAAAAAAGATAAATAAGGCCCTCTAAAGAGCAAAAGGAGCCCGCTCTACACCCAAGTCGCATACAAGCTCTCGACGGCCTGCTGGTTGACACCATTTACCAGTAAAACAATAAAAAAACAAGATTTTGACCCAATTATTCGGTTTAAAATCTTTTTTTCCATTTTAAAACATCGAGTCGGTAGGAGGGAGTCAGAAATATATATATATATTCTACAAACTTGGATGAATTTATAAACCTCATTCGATACACATGCACGATCAAAATCCCAAACACCAATTAAAATGTGTTTTTTTTTTTTTAACGTAGAATCAGTTAACTGACCCATGCGTAATCGGTTAATCCTTGAGAAGACCAAAATTTACATTGTCTTCTTTGGTAACTTTCAACGTAAGTGATGTTATTTGATATCAGGGCTATGCAATCCGGATAACTGCACCATCCGCTGGTTGCAGTTACTCCTCCACTGCGGACGAATGATGTTACAGCATTTTGGATGGAGTCTCTGAAAGCGTAATCTTCTGCGGTTGGTTCTTTTAAAAAATGCTCCAATTGGTCGAGGAATGCTATCGCTTCCCACATGTGAAAGCTGTAGCGTGAGTTATAATCGTATACTCTCACCTGAAATAGAGAAAAATGTCGTTAACCTTTGCTCTGTTTTTTTCTCTCCTTCACTAAAATATAGATAGAAGAGAAAGAATACGAGGTCTGTAGTTAAATATTACACACATATCGTTACAATTTCTTTTACTCAAGGGGCTGTCGAAAATTACGTAACACATATATGAGAGGGTGAGTATGCAGGAATCGTTATGATGCGTTACAAAGGAGTAGGGTTTTACAAAAACGTTACGTAATGCTAAGTAACAAAAGTTTCTGAAATGTCGATTAGCGAACTGTACCGTTTACATCACAGCTTTATACGTTAAAGGTGTAATTAATAAAATAATGTAACGTACGATATTCCCGTACTGTGTATTATTTCTTAGTACTGTACAATTAAAAATTGTCGACGCGTTACGTATTTTCAGAACGTATATGTGCGCTAGCGTTACTGAGCGTCACGAGGATGAAATGGCAGTTGAAAAGTATAAAAATGGATAGCTTTACGTAATTTATAGACGATGCCTAGCTTAACCTTTCAGAATTTCAATTATGTTTTCCAAGTTTTCAAGTTTTGACAGATAAATTTTCACTTCAAACTCGATATAGCCCCAATATATCGAAGTTAACATTAAATCGAACGTGATGCTACATAGAAGGAGCTGAAACAATAACAGTTATGTAAAACAACAAGGTCTGCATAGAAGTTTGAGTGTTTGAAAGTCACGTGATATGGTGATGACAAGCCCTTTCGGAATGCAAACTCACACATTTATAAATTCACGGATAGTATTCTTTCATTTAAAATATTCTTAAATATTGCTTAAAATAAGCAGAAAAATTTAAATAATGTTTTCTTAATAAACAGTAAAATAAATAATTTTAATTAATTGATGAATTGAAATCCGTAAATGTAAAGGATTTCAAGATGACATTTGCATACAAAAATAAATTGGATATTATTAAAATTATACTTTGAAAAATGTAGATTTGAATAAGAATGAAATATATTTTATTTAAAATATTTCATGGTATCAATTACATTTGCGAATATCGAGAGATTTCATGAATATATTTAGAAACGTCAAACTTCTTAGACGTAAGATCTATACTAGTTTTATGCAAATAATGAATTCCTCTATCGTTCAAAAATCAATAATCAGAGTGAAAATGATTTTTTAAAACATATAAATATTATTTTCAAACGTAATTATTTCTTGCATAATTTTCTGTAAACGTTCTTTCTGTCTGACTGTTTCTTTGCAAATAATTTTCCTCGTAATTACACTCATTCTGATGTAATTATTTTTAAAATATATTTATTCTATATAAAGCTTATTATTTTTTTACATACAGTGAAACCTCGATATAGCACCACCTTTCGAAATTGGCACTAAATCGAACTGAAGGAACTCGAACGATAAGAATTATACTATATAAAACAACGGGATATACACACAAGTTTGAAAGTCGCGTGATTTTGTGATAAAAAATGACCTTTATGATGCAGAATCGATCGCATATTTAGTAATTCACAGAGGCCGAAGCAATCACATCGAACATTTATGGTGCGTGACTTATGGTACACCCTGTATACACACACTACATTACTTCGAATCTCAGAGGCACTTTTCTCACGTTTCCATTGGAGTGTGTTATAAATTAATCACTATTTATTTTATATTAATTATACTTTATTAACAATTTCACCCCTTAAATACCATTTACATCCCTCGAAATCCCTTTATAAAAGTGGGGAGTGCGTGCACCATATATATTACAATTACATACGCATCACAGCTTTTGCATAATTATGTAAATAAATAAGAAAATGTTCGAATGTAATTTTCTACGTTTTTTTTTTTTTTTGTTTTTATGACGCTATTTTATACATTCCTCTATAAAATTATTTTTTTATACCTTACTTCCGCGTAGCTTTATTTACATATTTTCTACATATAAATGTATGTAGGTGTCTAATTTCTAAAGTTTTGAGGCATTATTATAAGTTTATAAACACGACTGTAAATTAGAGAATTGGGAACATTTTAATGTTAAAAAAATGAGAAAATCTCCATTGTAATCTTAAGTATTACAGAAGCAATTCTTCCGTTACGATCCTATTTTATAAAAGTTACGGTGACAAACGCATTACTTACTTGGACTTCAACGAAATTAATGATTATAAAGTTGGTTAATAAAAGGCATAAATTGTCGATCCCTAAAGCAATAAAAATATAATTACGTATTTATCTAAGTATAGTTGGATATTCTGCGTTCAGTTATTTAACTTGATGACTTGATATTTTATCACAAAGATAAGACTTGAAACATTTTGTATACATTGCAGCCTGTATCTAATGATTCCGGATATAGCAACATTGCTATAAACTCTACTACAGAATTATATTCCGAACAGAGCGTGATTTATCGCTACAGTAGTAGACGGTTCGATAAATTTCTCCCTTTTTAAAAAAAAAGAAAAAAAAAACAAAGATCAACGATTTTGAAAATGGAAGACGTAAGACCTGCGTAAGCAAAAAATCACAATAATGATTTTCATGGAATAATAAAGAAGTTTTGCGATGTGTATTTTCTTTATTGGATAGAAAATTATATTTACAATAAATTTAAATTGTTTGTAAAATAAAACCTGTACGAAACGGAAACCTGTCTAGACGGAAAAATTCTTCGGATAGCAATGATTTTTCTGTTAAAAAAAAACCTGTTCAAAACAGAAATCTGTCAAACAGGAAAAATATTTGGTATCGTGAGATTCCGGCTTAAATAGGTTTTTCTATATTTGTATAAAATAATTTACAGGAGCGTATAAAGTATGTGTATGATATTTTTACAGAACTGCATTGCTTCTAAGACATTCACAATTGTATTGGATAATTGCAATATAGGATTTATTTGAATAATTCTTAGAGTCGTTCATTATACTACGAGTAGTATAAGGGGTGAAAGGAAGTCGTATATGTGGCTTTTTTAATGGTAGTAGTGGCGTACAAATATGGTCTTATAAGTCTATTTAGTATTCAGTTAGAAAAATATTTGCAGAACTTTTTAAAGTCGTTTATTCAATGTCATAAACTATTGTACAATGCACGTAATTAAAGGATGAAGTTTGACAAAAATGCATCATGGTATATAACAGCCAAAAACTGTACATGTAATTAATAGACAATCTCTTATATTGTGATTATGAATTAGAATCTAATCACAATAAAATTTAATAACTTTCGAGGAATAAAAATTAAATAAATTCTATTAAGTATACTTTCTTATAAATGTACTTTTCTTAGTAGGCCTGTACTTAATATACTTTAAGGTATTATTAAGTACACTAAAATACTAAAAATATTACTGGAATGTATTTATATGCTTGTAAATGTACAGTACTTAGTATAATCTAGTGTACGGTAAAATATATTTTCCTTGCTTATTCTAAAGAAAATTAGATTTATAATTAATGTAAATTATTATTTATTCGAAAAATATTTTATAACACTTTTTAAATTATTTATATTTATGTAAAATAAGTTGTAAGAACGTAAAAAACTGTTTATGTATGTAAGTACGTAATGGAATAATGTAATAAGTTTTTTTATTGAAAAATTGTTTCATTTTGTAAACTTCTAACAGATATAAATAGTGTAGTGAAGCCGATGTTTATATGTAAATAGAATTTTCATTCAATTTTTAAAAAACGTATAGAAAAATACAAGTTTTTACAGAATAAATCTTTTAGTTGTACAGCTTACTGACTGCAGTCACATGACTTGAGGGACAATTGAAATTCTGATTTATCTTCTTTAAGAAAATGAATATCTTTTTCCCCCTCATACTAGAAAAGAACCTAACAATAAAAGACATATGAGTCTCGAAGAAACATTTTTTTTTTTTTTTATAAAGGGGGGATAAGATTTAGAAATCGTTGTTTCAACTATAAACGATCGGTCTTGGTAAAAGTTTTAGAAAAGATGGCAAAGGTCCAAACATATCAGGTGCAAAAATGACAGAATGATGAAAGGTTTGTCTATTTTTAGTAACGGTAAAGTTTTAAATTATTGAATCCTATTAAAAAAATCCCTAAAAAATACTTTAAACTTTAGCGAACTCACATAACGTTAGCCCCTTTTTGCACCACCTGTGGGAACCATTAAGTGAATTTTTACGATTATAAAGATGTAAGCGTTGCAGAGTTCAGTATTAAAATTCAGAAAAGAAAGAAGAAAGGAAATAGCGAGAGGAGTTTTAATAATTTAAAAAAACTGTACTTACTGGTTTGGATGGAATGGACGTCACTATGTAACGATGTATGGGAGATTGAAACGATTTAGCAAGCATCGATGCCAAGTCTTTAACAGGGCACGTCTGTCTCAAATCGGTAACCATTGTAGTATACAAACGTTCGGGAGTATATAATTCATCTGTAATTTACGAAGAAATTGTTTTATTTTAAGGCGTTGCTATCAATATCCATTATTAAACACTTAATATAAATGTATGTTCCTTGTTATAGTTAAGAAAAAAGCTGGCAATAGTTCTTGCGGCACTTTCTTGGCACTTGAACAGGAGGAACGGAGATTTTGGGTTGGGTAAATTTTTAAAAACCTGTAAATGCCAACAAAATTTGTTTTTAATGAACCAAAAAACTCGTACGTGTAAAATTTTCATTAATTCTGACCACACTCCAGATATGATTCCTATCCCTCTAATTTCCCTCCTCTTTGACTTATAATTTCCAAATTGTAATAGCATCAATGGCCAAATATAAAAATACCTGTCAAATTTCAAAATTTTTTGATGAGTAGGATCCTCAGATATTAAGCAAAATTCAATCAACAAACGCACAAAATACACGCCTATACATATATACAAAATCTTTTCTCTCAAGTAGTTTATCCTATTTCCACAGAAACTGTTTAAAATTTTACAAGAATTATCTGCACATTGTATAACAAATATTCTAATTTAAAAAGTAAAATCAAAGTTAATCATTAATAATTAAATAGCCTGTTTTAAAATATAAATAACAACACTTTTCTACACGAAAATAGGATATTTTAAGTGGATTTTTAGCTATAAACTGTAATTTTAGTGTTTGTTTACTGAATATAACACAGTTGACGTATCAAAGTAAATAAATTGTATATTCTCCTTCTAAGATTGAATCCGAAAAATTTAATCTCAAGAGAATTTGATCTATTGCTAAAAGTATAATAATCATTAGATTTATTTTCCTGGAAATCTTAAAATAAAAGACTTAAAATTTAAAAAAAAAATATATATATATATATCACTATAAAACTGAAATCCCATCATTTGTTCTACTCTTCTTCGAAAGTTAAATCTGGTAAACAGGTTTTTATTGTATAAATAATGCTTTTTAGTATTAAACAGTATCGCTAAAATTGCGTACAGACAGATGGGATGGATATCTTCTGCGAGCAGATTATAGTTTAACTAGGATTGTTGGATCTTCTGCCTGACTGCATGGAGTGCTTTATATCTAGGAAATGATGGGAGTTGAAGTGGGATAGCTACAAGTAAGTTAAGTAACAAAACTAGTGATAAAATGGCAGTTGGAAATAAAAGTTTTGAACTCGATAGAAAATTATAAGTCTCTTTATATAAGCTGTCTATTTTTTTTTGTTTATAGGTCTGTAATTTATTTTTGAGAGACTCTATCCAAAATGGCAATTACACATAGAGAAGAAAACACCAACCAATTGATTGTGTTTCTTCTCTGTTTTTTATGGTAATTTAAATTTATTAAATTCGTAAAAATTTAAGTACTGAAACAGTAATAATTTACATATAATTATGGTTTATAAAATTCAAAATTGATTTTTTTAATATCAGGTCCTTAAACACACACACACATAGCCCAATAATGTTATATCGAACTTTTATTTTATTTAATTCAGAGGTTTTTGAGTAAACGAAATTAAGTTAAGAATACGAAAGTGTTGTTATTTACAAAGGATATAGTATATGCTAATATATACATATATGAGTATACGGACACAAACAAATCATAGACATACAACAAGCATACAGATTATGCATATGCCTAAACACTTATTACACATCCGCGCACACGTACATATTTTTGTACCGTACAGTACATATATATTCGTATGATTACATGAAAATATACTTTGCTTCTAACATTATCTGAATGGGTAAAACTCCTGAATAGGTCGCGGGTTCACGCCTGACCACGTTTAACACTTAAAAAGGGTCGGTTTCTTATAGAAAGTCCTGGGCAGCACCCCATTGGCAAATCGCCTAAGTATTATGTTGCTTTATTTATCAGTCCAATGCAGGTGAATCCGAGTTCGATTTTCGTTCGCTGCGAACTCCACCGTCTTTCCAGATTAATCTTGTTTTAAATAGAATAACGGTTAATCTGAAACTCTTATTACATGTACATTATTATATACAATAGACGATAAAGTATTTACAAACGACTAAATAATTAATATTTTATAATTACACGAAGAGTCATTTCTTAAATAAAGGTGTAATGTAACTTATTTTAAAACTTGGCATCGTAAGATCTCAGTACTGTAATCAATAAGAGACATAATATTCGACGATGCGAGATTTTACAATCCAGCTTTACTGCTACATTTCCTTCTCGTTTGAGAAAATATCAACAAAAAATATCAAAGTAAATCCATTCTACTGTAATAATTGCTTTGTTACAATTCTTGTGTTCAATATCTGATTATATGCGACATTTTAGATATTGTATTATTAATAATTAATTAAATAATCTCAGCATCATTATATTAAAACATATTTATCTGGCATTAGAAAAGTACAAATTAAATTTTAAATTTAATTTATTGGGATGCTAAATACAAATATAAACAAGGGCACTGTACAGTACATTCCTACAAAAAAATGTAGAATTTTTTAGTCCTTTTAGGCAAATAAAAGTAGAAAAATTCAAGTTTAGTTTATAATAGGGGAGATCGGGGCAAGATCGGCATGTTAAGCTTTACTTAAATTTTGTGTAATAAATACTGCTGTAAACTGAAAAAAAAGCTTTGCATATTGTCTATTGGAATGTTACCTTACTATAGAACTGGTTAAAATCAGTTTGGAAATAAAAATAATTAAAATAATTACAACTTTACAAGAAGAGAGAAATTGACGAAGTTGCCCCGGGTATAGGGGCAAGATCGGCAACTTCTCTCTTTTTGTAAAGTTGTAATTATTTTAATTATTTTTATTAAAGTTGCCCCTGGTATAGGGGCAACAGTAATGGGGCAAGATAGGCACGTATATAAAATTATGTTATTAACAATGTATAAGTTGGAATTCACTATTAAAACAAAGAAATACAAATCCAACACCCATTTAATATTATTACAACGAAATGCAAGTTCAAAGACATATATACATGAATAACAAATGCAAACATGTTTTCATTTATCATCTGTTTGATTTTTATCCTTTGCTTCTAATGTGGCTTTATGTTGCCGATCTTACCCCGCTAGTCATGATTTCGAAACATTAAGTACAACCCTGAGAACAGAATGCCAAGCCACGATCTGGCCACGTGAATAAGTTGAAGTTACATCCTTCTAACAGGAAAAGTAACTTTCGTTATCATGGAATTATAACAAAACCTGCCAATTCAATATAAATGGAAAAAAAATATTATATGGAATTGAACGAAAATGAAAATTTGCTTGATAATTCAACTACGCTTGTTGGAGAACAATAAAAACACTACACTCAACAAGCCACCAATAAAACTCAACTGCCTAACCTATAACCAAAGTCTCCTTTTAATTTGTTTTTAAAAAAAAGCGCTTGACAAACTTGCCCCGCCTGCCGAAGTTGCCCCGATCTCCCCTAATAAATAAATAGATATTAGCTAATTAAGTTTATTAACATTACCATTTATTAATTATGGAATTCGGAATTTTTGTCTTGTAAATATAATTTTTATCTGTAATGTTTTAAATTAATTTTTAGTAAATAGTTATACGATTTTTTTTATCAATACAAAGCACTAGCAAGTACCTGGTGATCGTAATTAAAGTACCTTTATTCAACGCTGTCTAGAAAAATATTTAACAGTCTAATCCAAACTAATCTGGTATGGTGGCATTTCAAAATACGCGGAAGACATTTCTGTAATATATATATATATATATTACTAAGACTCACCGCTGTGGCACTTTTGGTGCTGCAAGCAACAAATATTTTGTATGTGCAAGATGCTCGTGCTACACAGACTTCAGCGATATAGAGGATACTGCTACACGTGGCATGCCCTCTAAAAACACACTTTTTAAGTGTCTTCAACCAAAAAACATATAGAGTAATAATCAAAGCGCCAAATGTGCCATAGTGGTAAGTTTTAGTACTAATTTTTTTTTACGGAAATGTCTTCCACAAGTCCTGAAATGCCAATTTAAAGCATCATAAGAATCAATTGTAGAAAAAAATATTACAGACAATGGTTATGTTTACCAGACAAAATCCATTGGTATTCAGTAGACAAATAAATTCACCAGACAATAAATAATTTACTATACAAAATAATGTATTTCCTAGACAAAAATACGCAACTTTCCCCCAAAGAAGTATTTTCTCTAGTAAATTCTATTATTAATGTATCTATTTAGCATATTAATATATAAAATATAATAAAATTATACAGTACTCTTCTTGAAAATAATATATGAAGTCAAACTTCTAAACAACGGCCATTGATGGGATGAGAAATAGTGGTCGTTGTATGGAGGTTATTTTCTATTCATTTCGAAGAAAAATGCTCCTGAAAAAGTGGCCATTGTTAGGAGCTGCTGTTATTAGAGGTTCTATTATATATATATAGGCCTATATAATTGTAACATAACGTTAGCTCTATGTAAGGATTTTGAAATGCATTATTATCGTTTTATCTTATATGGACTGCAAGAAAGTTATATACAGTAAAACCTATTCAAAATGAAGCTTAATAAAATGGAAATCTGCCTAACGGGAAATATTCTTCGGAACGGAACATTTTTCTGTGTTAAAAAAAAAATACATGTTTAAAACGAAAACCTGTCGAACCGGAAAAAAAATATATGGTGTGAGTCCGATTTACACGTTTTACTGTAAATATTTTCATTTTTCCACCGTACCACGATACCACCGTTTTCCGTTTTAGACAGGTTTTACTGTATTTAATAATAGATTATTTTATGTTTTTTTAATAACTTTAGGCAAATATCAATATTAATGTTTATGCCCTAAATCTATCCATCGTATCATCAAAATTAACTAATTATATTTTTGGTATTCTCCTATTTACCCTACAAATACAGCTGAATCTCCTATAACGGCCACCTCAGCGATCATTTTTTCAGAATATTCTTTCTTAACAAAATGTATGGAAAATAACCTACAACCAACG